TTATATAACAATATAACAATATACCAATCAGTGTTCGAAGACCTCTTCCAGTTCCTCGGGGATTGGGTGCGTACCCAAGATACAGTACGCATTTCCCTTCTGAACAGCGACACTGAGGCGCTGGAACATAAAACTGGCCGCTCTTGGGTCTCTAGTCTTCCCAATGAGTTCCTCGCCCAGCTCCTTCAGGAACTTAAGTGTACATTTACCCCAGGCGCCCAGAGTCTCAGAGCCTATTGGCACGAACCTGTAACAACGTTCTAGGTCCCTGTACTTGTTAGTTTTCTGGGTCTCCCTGAAGGTGGCGGCCCCGCCTCCTTCAGCTGCGCTGTAAAGTTGATAGGTATCAGCCAATGTGGATGCACACGTGTAGTCCCACACGACCTGTTTACCTTCCCTCCATGGCTGCAGGGTGACTCCATCTGGGCGTTTTTGGCTGTTGTCAGGCCTGCACAACTGAGGTTCCCTTTGTGCTGGGCACCCAGCTGAAGCCAAACTTCTCTTGATGATGTCATTGACTGCTTCATGTCTGGCAATCTTTCCCTATGTCTTACGACAGATGAGACCATGGCTGCCGTATTGGTCTGCCCGTGCATGGCCGCAAATACACCGGTGCTCGGTGGAGATAGGGGCTGCAAGGCGCAGAGCAACACCAATACTTAGGGTCCTACCCACCCCAGCCTTAACCCATCCCCACCTACCCACAACCTATCCTTACCCAACCCCTACCCATTTACCTTCCCCTGCCCGTATACCCACCCCAGCCTGAATCCACACCTACCTACCCACCCCCAGTCACAGCCTATCCCCACCCAACCCCAACCCGCATGTCCAACCCGGCCTCAACCCCTCCCCACCTACCCACCCCAGCCTTAACCCATCCCCACCTACCCACAACCTATCCCTACTCAACCCCTACCCATTTGCCCACCCTAGTCTGAACCCACCCCAGCCACAGCCTATCGCCTCCCAATCCCTGCCCGTATGCCCATCCCAGCCTCAACCCACCCCTACCTATCCACCCCAGCCACAGCCTATCCCCACCCAACCCCTGCCCACATGCCCAACTCAGCCTCATCTCCTCCCCACCTATCGAAACCCAACTTTGTCTCCTTTAACCTCTACCTGTATACACGTCTCCCTCAACCTCTTCCCACCCACATGCCCTTCCTCTCAACCCCACCCTACCCAAGCTTCCTCTCCTCAACAATCCGCCATCCACTCCTCCCCCCCCTCTCAATCCCTCCCCATCATACTTCCTTTGTATCCTACCTCTTACCCCTTCTCTCCTCCCACTTTTCATATCCCGCTCAACCCCAAATGTCCTCCTCTACTCCCTTATCCCCCACGGATCCTACTCCTCACCCCTCGCCCCCCCTCCACTACCCTTTTCTCCCTACCTCCTCAGTGTTACATCCCAGGACATTGCTTGTAAAAGAAGTAAGCAAACGTCTGGTAGAAACAGTATTATTAATGAAAAGTGTTGGAATTGTTATGGGCTGTGGCCATTTTAAAAATTCTTGTCAAAACATAGGGGTTAAGGTAGACCCGGGAAAGGCCACCCTTAGTGATGGTCGGCCTACCTTTGAAGTAAAGGTGGAAGATGTAAGATTGACAGTTTTTGTGGAAACCGGAAGTCAAGCAACTCTAATTAAAAAGGCAGACTTCAGCAAATTTAAATATGCACGTCTTAAGCGTGGTGAGAAAACGTTGACAGAAGTAAATGAGGAAAAGATTGATATCTTGGGTCAAGGTAACATTAACTTTGAAATTAATGGGGAATTGCAACCTCATACATGTACGATTATTGAGAATTTTGATTTTCCTGGAGACATCCTCATGGGTACCGATTTTTTAATAGGTTTGATTACGCTTTGTCTGCACAAAAAGGGAGAAGGAACTGCAGATTGCAGTTGGGACAGATTTCTTACCCAGTGGAGATGATAGACGATCCCCCAGTTGTGGCTTCAATTAAGAGGAAGCAGAAATAAAACGCACACAACACAAAATGGATTTTTAAGTCTCCTCCAGACACAGTCAAGAGGTCATGTGGGTTACATGCATTGACCAAGCAAAGTTGCCCACCACATTCTGTTAAATTTATTGAAGTGGCTGTGGGACGTCACATCCTACCATGAACCATCCTTCAGGTGGCTGGAAGATGTGATAGTTATTAATTCCCCATCATCTAATTGTGGTGCTTGATAAAGGTGCACTTATTCCTGTCATCAATCTCTCACACAAGACTTCGCTTCAGGGCGGGTGATAGGGTATCTCAGAGAACTATGGTGAATGACAGTAATTTTTCACTATGAGTCAGCTGAGACGCCAGCCGTCACAGCACAATGTAGTGCTCTAAATGTGATAGACAATAATAAACCATCAAAGATAAAGAATGAGACCAGATGTTTCGAGTAACATACAGGATATAGATAAGTTGATCTCGGCACTCGATTTACAACATGTTCTACAGACTGATAGAAAACTGCTGAGGGGAATTCCCCCCCCCCCCCCCCCCGTCTATAAAAAAATACGAAAATTCCCAAAATTGTTTGCAACAGAGGATGACCAGATTGATCTCCTTGATAGGATTGAACAAACCATTCCAACAGGTAATCACGTACCTGTTTATACAAGGCAGTGAAGGTTGCCGGAACAGGGTAAAAAAATATCTGGGATGAGAGCCAGAATATGTTGAGAAAGGACGAGACAGAACCTAGTACGTCACCGTTGCTAACTCCTGTTGTGTTAGTTCATAAACCTGATGGCAGTTATCGCTTTTGTGTAAACTACTGGAAGCTAAACGAAATAACTAAGGGTGATGTGTATCCTTTACCGCGTATTCAGGAGATAATAGATCAATTTGGAGCTGCTAAGTATTTTTCCACTCACGATGCAAAGGCGGCATATTTGGGCTATACCGGTGGCTGAAAAAGACAGGGAGAAAACAGCATTCACTGATAGCAGGCACACCTACCAATTTCGTAGGATGCCTCTTGGCCTTAAGACAGCCTCTTCGTCATTTCAGAGGGCCATTAACTTTATCCTCAGCCCAGTTTTGGGAAAGAATTCGTTAGCGTACCTGGATGATGTGGTAATCTATTCCAGGACGTTTGATGAGAACTTATGAGATTTGACTGAGACTTTGACCTTGTTAGATCGAGCGGGTTTTAAATTAAATGTGCAGAAGTGTACTCTGGCAGCTCAGAAATTCAAATTTCTGGTGTTCCAGGTGAGCACAGATGGTACCAGGCCTGACCCTGACTCTTGCCGCGCTATTAGTGAAATGCCAACTCAAAGAACAGCAAAGGACGTGCGCTGGTTTCTGGGTGCAGCCGGATACTTTCGTCGCCACATTGAAAGTTTTGTGAGAATATCAGCACCTCTGACCAATTTAACAATGAAAAATGTAAAGTTTATTTGGAAGCCAGAACATGACATCGCCTATGCACAAATGAAAAGTCAACTCATTACAACACCAGTATTGGCAGTGCCAGATTTTGATAAAGAGTGGGAAGTACATACAGACGCCAGTGGTATAGCTATTTGTGGAGGTTTGATGCAACGAGATAATCAAAATGTCCCTCATCCAGTGGTCTATTTCAGTAGGAAAGTCACGAGACCAGAGGTTCGTTATTCGGCCACAGATCGGGAGGCGCTCGCACTGGTTATCTTGAGATGATTTCGGGGTTTTAGTGTCCCCGCAGCCCGGTTCTCGACCAGACCTTCACCCCCAGGAAGCAGCCCGTGACAGCTAACTCCCAGGTACTTATTTACTGCTTGGTAACAGGGGCATCAGGGTGAAAGAAACTCTGCCCATTGTTTCTCGCCGTCGTCCAGGATCGAACCCGGGACCACAGGATCACGCGTACAGTGTTCTGTCCGCTCAGCCACCGGAGCTGGTGGTAGAGTCAGTTAGATATTTTGAACCTTATTTGTCAATGCCATTTTGTAATCTACACTGGTCACAGAGCATTAACACACTTTTTTAAGAAACGTACAAAATGACCACGGATGTCACGCTGGTCTCACGAATTGTCTGCACACTCATTCCAGTTCCTTTACAAGCCTGGACCGTCACATGTGGTGCTGGATACTTTAAGCAGGAACATCGCTACTATGAACGTTAACCAGAATATTGAAAAAAATTCATCTGAAAAAATGAGAGAATTTCAGATGAGCGAGCCTAGGTGGAAAGTTATTATTGAATATTTGGAAAGGGGAAATTATCCTTCCAAAAATCGTAAATTGCCAATACATGTTGGAAATTTCCAACAATTATTCTCATCCCTAATACAACAGGATGTATTTCCTGTATTAGGCTTCATGCACATCTAATGTTCATTTAATAATCCTTAATACAACAGGATGTATTTCCTGTATTAAGCATAATAATTAACTAACACTACTAATACGTAGTTTAGCATTGTAGGATTTACTGTATTAGGTTGTGGAACATCATGTAATTTCTCCTGGAATTGTGTAGTGTTGCACTGTGAGAATTAAACATCACCGCATAAAGAATTTATCTAAACCATCAGGAGTGTTCATACACGCCCCTTCCCTATTTAGCGTTAATAAATAAATATAATTTATGCTCGAATCCTCACGGCGAGCTCCTCCCCTAAAGTCGCGATCATGCGCGACTTTAGGGGAGGAAGGGGGAGAGGACTCTCGCCATATTCGCGATCAACAAGTGGTGCTCCGAAAGGGTCCAACAAATCTTACCATCCTGAAGACATATTTACATCCTTAGACGTTAGATTGAGGACGCAGCTTACCAGAATCACGGACACCAGTTCGGCAGGCATTTTTACCTCATTTGTTCTATTTAATGAGCTCTTAAATAAGATCATGTAGGTGCCATGTCGTTATGATGCGGGCGTAAAAAATAATGTCATGTAAGTGCAGCTCTTTCCCCTCCAAATATTTAGATATTACCGTAAATGTGTGCGAATACTAATTTGGAGATGGAAATTACGGAATTATCATTATTGCAGCATGGGGCAACACTCCTGAGGAAGCATGTGACTGCCATACCCTCACGTGTGCCAAGTAACACTATCTCAAACTGTTTCCAGCCTGGCGTACAGTGGACTGAATCTACATCCTCTGTCACAGCTGAGACATAATCAGTTTTCATTGTAGATAGTACCTTATTATTCAAAGTCCATATACATATATCTATATATCTGATACTGCCATTTATACATTATTATTCTTCACATTGCAGTAGTATTTTGCATTACCTATTTTACTCATTATCTATGTGTGCATATTATACTTATTATTATCATTGCATAATATATGTTACACATAAACTAATCTTATAGAATACTCCCAAAAATGTGTCATGGAAGGCTGGCTCTAGAATTTTATAATTTACAGTCATTGCTTAATAGAATTTATTTATATAATCATAGATCTATAAGCCACTGATTTTCTCATTTAATTTCTCATTCTGGTCCTTCGAGCTATCTTAGAATTTATCATTATTTTACATTCATATAATTATACATTTTCGTAGTATTATACTGGAGCCAGATTTGCCCACATATATTATGGTCCTTCGAACCTAGATAGTCTAGTCAACTAGTCAACTGGTTGTCAACTAGTCAACTATAGTCAACTAGACTGTAATTACGAACTAGTAGAATATAGCCAGAAGTTAGGCTATTTACAATTCATTATTCATTTTTCATCCCTGATAACATTATGCTCTTTAATTAGGGAGTATTATCAGGTACTAGGATAGAATTTAGGGCAGCATATCTGCCACTCTCATAGAATTTACGGCAGCATATCTGCCACTCATAGAATCCATGGCAGCATACCTGTAACACACATAGAATTTCGGCAGTAAAATATCTCCCACATATATAATCATTTATAGTAGTAGAATAATTGTCATACATATATAATCACCTGTATATACTCAATATATAAATGAAAATTATAAAAAGACAAAAAATAGCACTATCCTGAATCTGCACATTAGTAGTATTATAGTATTTTATGCCAACCCATGTAGAATAGAATGCTTAGACTGGAATTGTACTTTGTAGTGTACAACTATAGCCTAACTCATTATTACTAGTTAGCCTAGATAGGTAGGATTATTCGTAGACTAGGATTGTACAAGGCAGTACAACCTAGTCAACATTTATTATTGTGCAAACCCAAGTCAGGGTAGGACTTATCATTATTTTACACAAATTGTGTTTTTATATCATATTGTATATATTTACTGTGTACCTTTTGAGTGTTATTAAAGTGTCACTACCCATCCAAAGCTGATTATGAGGAGCTAAGCAGAGGAATTCCTGTAGAGTCACTGAAATATCACTCAAATATTAGCTGTTTACTATTAGGTAGGTAAGCTAACCTCTACGTGAGGTAGGAATCAGATATTAGGCTATTAATAACCGTACTAGTTCCACGTATATATGAATCAATACCCCAGTTATTTACATTACCAAGCCATGGCACCAACTAAGCCAACATCCACAGGCAGTGCACCAGAAGAAATGTCCAGCAACTGCTTATTATGTTTTAGATCATACACGAGTCACAAAGGCCATGTGACTAGAAAGTTGAATAAGTGTGATCAGCTAGTACAATCTGGTGCCACAGCCAAAGTATTTGAAAACCTCATAGAGACGCCCAAGCAAAAGTTGCAAAGAACAAATGAGGCTGCAGATGACTATCTCAGAGTCCTCATGCAACAGAAAGCTGAGCCAGATCAACTAGATACCTTCCATGCCGAGATGGAGAAATTTGAGGAGGGTACCCAAGATCATCTAAATAAATTAACACAAGCTCTAGAAAAATTGCAGAGCAACTCAGTTCCTCAAAAATACTCTAACCACTAGTGAAACTAATGCACTGGAAACACTTCAGGAAGTTCGTCTTCCTACAATTGATCTCCTTCACTTCCATGGTAGAGATGATGAGAATTTTGAATGCTATTGGAAAACATTCGACTTCTTAGTAAACTCCAAGAAATCTATTAGCAAACCTAATAAATTCCTCTATTTGCAAAGTACCCTAGAGGGTTATCTTGAGATGATTTTGGGGCTTTTTCAGTGTCCCCGCGGCCCGGTCCTCGACCAGGCCTCCACCCCCAGGAAGCAACCTGTGACAGCTGACTAACACCCAGGTACCTATTTTACTGCTAGGTAACAGGGGCATAGGGTGAAAGAAACTCTGCCCAATGTTTCTTGCCGGCGCCTGGGATCGAACCCAGGACCACAGGATCACAAGTCCAGCGTGCTGTCCGCTCGGCCGACCAGCTCCCAAACTGGCCGGCAGGGTGAAGCAAAAGCAGTTGTTGAACACCTAGTCCCTAGTGATGAGAACTACGATACTGCTATTCAGTGCGTTTATCAGTGCTATACCGACGGCTCTGTAGAAGATGGTGGACGATGTACCGGATGTGCATGTAACATATTTGAACAATCTTCTCTCGTACATGAAGCACGTCAATGACTGGGCAAGTACAACTCAAACCGAACTTGCAGGCATATACCTTGCCACTGAATTTCTAAAAGACAAAGGCAGTGGACTTATATACTGTGACTCGCAGAGTGCACTCCTGGCACTGAATGCACATAGTAGTGACACCCAGAAAATAGTCAGTGATATTCGAATGAATGTTTTAGCTGCTAAAGAAAGCAGATTTGAGATTAAATTCCTATGGATACCATCACATGTTGGCATCTCAAGGCATGACACTGTTGATATGCTTGCTAAGACAGCCTGCAGAAAACCAGTGGTAGAAATTGATATGGGTGTTTCATTAGCAGTGACAAAGAGAATACTTAAACAAATATCTAATGAAAATCTCATCGACCTAACAAATTCACAAAGACCTGAAAGTTGTAGCATTAAATATTATGATAGATATCGTGAGGAGACATTTACATATGGGACTAATAGAACAAGAACCCGGCAATGTGATGTTATAGTGGCCAGAATACGCCTGGGATATAGACGTATCTGGCAGCTTTCTCAAAACCCAAATATCGAGTACACAATGTGTCAACTTGTGAAAGAGAAAACATGCACTCTCTTGAACATTATATTGTAGAATGTCTCATACTGACTGACTTTCTCCCTCCTGGGCTAAGGTATGCTGAACTCTGTAATTACTATATGAGTACTGGAACACTTGATGATATATTGGACTTGTATCCAAGATTGACCATGTAATATATTATTTATACAATGTATATATATGGTGTAACTATATAACCTGAGCTTGTAAAAGCACCTTCATCACCTTCAGTGATTAAGTGCTTAATTGCACACTAGTTTCTTTATCAGCTATCTCACCCTGTCAGAGTAAATGTGACAGATGTATGTGAATGCATGTGTGTGTATATATGTATGTATATGTGTGTGTGTATGTATATGTATGGGTATAAAGTAATATGGAAGCTGATCAGAATTACATTTCACCTTTGTGAATGTACATTAATGACACTATGTAAAAGACACATCTAACACTTTTTGTAGGGCACACGTAAATCTGTGTATCTATGTATTTACGTATGTAGGTTAGCTTAGCATTTTAAAAGCACCGAATCACCTTCTGTGGTTGGGTGTTCAATAAACCCTTGAACTATATGTTTAACACATTTCTAACCCTGTCCATGGAGGACAGAAGACAATGTATATATGCTGGTTAGCATTGTAAATGTGTGGCCACGTCTGTGGTAGAAAATAATAATAATAAAAAAAACCTGCTATTCAGTTACTAGAAGTTAATTACAACAATAAAGAAATTGTTATTGCTAATCTTTATTATAAGTTAAGAGCGATACCTACACCAGATACCACCCCTGAAGCTCTACAAGAATTTAGATCCAGGTAGAGTCTCTAATTAAAGCTCTAGGTGTCAAAGCAGATGTACCTAAAGCCGAGTGGGTATTGAAATTAGAAATACAGAGTAAGTTTCCTAAGGAGATTCTAGCATCCATCTGTTCCCATTATAGAACAGATATCCTATCCTTAGATGAAATTTTCGACGGATTAAGGATAACAGTTAATCGAATGAGAGCTCATGAGAAAATAATACCTGACACTGACAAATTAACCACTGATAAAACAGTCAAATCCAAAGGTACTATTAAACAGCCTAATAAATCTAAAACCGCTACTTCCACTCCAAGATGGAAGAATACCACAGTAGGTACCTACACTATCAGCCCTTCTAAACCTGTAGTCCATTAGTCACCCAAGTTAGTGACCCCTACATCTACTACAGGATGGAGATGCTGTCTTTTTTGCCAAGAGAGCCATACTATTTATCAGTCAAAACTTTCCTGATCGCGTTTCTAGGATAAAGCGCCTCAAGGAATTGCACAAGTGCACCAGGTGCTTGTTGCAACACGATCCTAATACATGCACCACCCCATTACACATATGTAACAGGTGCCACCAGGATCAAAATCCTTCAGCATTGTGTGGAGTTGATAGGCCTAAATCACCAAAACTCCAGGTGGAACAGGATACTTCCACCATTCTGCAGTGTTGTAAGGTGCGACAGGAGGTTAAGGTGCTTAACACCAAGTCTCGTAATAATACCGTATTACCCACTGCACAACACAATAGTATGAATTCTAGAATCACTACAAGAGGTCTATTCGACCAGGGATCCCAGAGAACGTTTATCACTCAACAAGCAGCTAACCAACTGAAACTTAAACCCTTGTGTAAGGTGACATTGAACATATTAGGATTCCTAGCAGATACTGGACCTCAAGAATTTGAAGTAGTACAACCACTAGAACGCCTAGGCGATTATGTCCGACCTGTTAAGGCCATAGTAGTTAATCACATCCCTCTTGACATGAATGTCAAAGGTCTAAGGGACACAGCCAAATTTTTACAGAAAAATAGAATTAAGTTGGCTGACTCCAAGATAGCGTCTGACCACCTCACCAATGTAGATCTATTAGTAGGGGCAGACCATTATCAGTTCATTACTGGAACTACAAGCCAGCATGGAATGAACTTGTTGAGTTCAGCCGGGGGCTACTTACTTTCAGGTAGAGTCTTAAACCTGAGGAAGCCTATGCCAGCTGACAACCAATAATAATTCCAGATTGAGTCTGGTACAATTAGTACTAGCCAAGTTAGT